TCTTTCCCTGCTGCTTTGTTCTGGGTTGTGTGACTTCGAGTAATTTTAGGCTAAATTCAGTGTCAGAATATCAAAGCTGCTGTTTAGTTAACAATAATTGACATCATAGATGGGGTAATTCACCATAGACAATTACTCCCTGGATCCTGTCTGTTCAAAAGAACCTTTCATAACTCAGATGAGTCCATTTGGGCCGGTTGTACACTTGTGCAAAGCAATTTAGGAGCAGGATTAATCCCAGAGTAACATCATTTGCACATTGGGAATGAATTTGTTGCTTAAATCAGTTGCATGCTCAGAGATATATCTAGTCAGTGGAGAAGAGCAAAATCCATTTCAGCATAATGAATCCAAAAGGTGCCAGGCAATTAAAATCACCAGAGCATTGGTTCTCAATTTGTGGTGTAGGATGATATTATTCCCTGTGCTTCCTGTTACTCTCCCTGCGAAGTCTCCCAAAGCAGACATCCTTCAGCTGAAGCAAAGTACAATGTTGCCTGCTGCACTTTTTCACTTGAAATTTTTGCTACTGAGATCTAGAGTCCAGAGCCCTCAAAGTGTGGGGCTGCAGGAGTGGTCCTTATGGAGGTTGAAGACAGACTTTCTTGTTCATCAGGAAAGTCATAGGAAGTATTTCAAGCTACAAATGGGGTGTGTCTTCAGTGACCTGAAAGTACAGCTCTGCATTGAAGATGACCTAGAAAAATAACACCTCTTTTCACTTGTTTTTCTTAATTTTGAGTACTCAGGATCAGATCTGCTGAGCCCAAATACTTTGTTAATGCTTTTAAATTATACTTCCTGCAGACCCAGCACAACTAAGAGAGGTAAAAAACGGGGATCTTGTCTCCTTACACACACACTTCATACAGTAGCTCCCCAAGTCCTACTCAGGGACGGCTGCAATGTGCTGAAGATGAGAGAAGTGGTCTTTCTTTGCCTATAGTTCTCTGTTTGTGTTCAGAGAAGTGGAGAAAAAAACCACAACAATTTCTCTCTGACTCTGCTAGGGCAGGAAAACAGGGGAGAGTGCACTGGTGGCAATTAGAAAAAGATGTATTTTATTTAGGAGTTTTGCAGAAGTTGACACACATTAATAAAGCCATGGGAGTTCAGTGGTTTTATTTCATTATGGAAGGAGAGCCACATAGCCATACGTGAATAGATTTTGACTCACTCATAAATGAGGTTGGCTGTATGTCATTGTAAATTTAATATTCAGGCCTGTACTCTCCAAACATTCACAAGTAGTTTACTGATATGCTTAAAGTTAAGAGTATGCACAAGCTGGGATCAACCCTGTATGTTGACAAACAAACTTTACATTTTAAGAAGCATGTGGGGAATCTGTTCAAGATTGTCTGCCAGTTACCAGAACTGACAGCCACTGATCATGTCTTCCCTTAATGTCCTGCTATTCCTTTTTGGACTGAGTTTAATCATCAGACCCTCCCTTTTCTTGTAGCATTCTCTTCCAGGCAAGTGCTGCTTGTGTGGATCTCCTGTGTTCCTTTACTTACAAGGTGTTTTCTTTTTGTTCCACAGATTAGGACTCGCAGATGCGTACCAATGGTAAGACACTATCTTGGTCTGCAAGCTGTTTTTCTTCTTTTGAGATTCTTTAAACAACTGTTTCATTTTTTTGATCCTGTTCTTGAGGGGATGTTTTCTGGCCCAGTTGTCCTGCCGTCACTGCCAGTCTAAATGGAACAGCCAGTTCATTTAAACAAGGTTTAATCTAATGCCACTTAGTTTATCTTCCCAATTTGTCCACTCACAGTACAGGTCACTCCTTTCAGGATTTCATAAAGTGGATTAATTTACAACCCATCAGTGATTTTTGATATTAAATCATTAAGCTGCGTTCCATGTTGAATAGATTCTGACCGCCATTGCATGAGATAAACAGGTTACAGAACCACAAGCAGTGTGTGACCTTTAACAGCTCTATGAATAACTCCCTTTGCAATTGACAGGGCAGTTGGGTTGAAAAATCTTTCCTAACAAAGCGGTTGAAGCAATTAAAACTGTCCTGCTAAGGAGACAGAACAACCTTTGAATTAATGGTTTAGCCTATTAAAATGACAGAAAGATCTTAGTGTTCCTCTTGACAAGTGTTTCTTGGTCTCTACTTCGTCACTGCTACTGAGAGGTGATAGTGCAGAGAATTTTAAATTTAGAAGAGTATATTCAAATACTCTGCAGCATTTGGAATGACCATTAGGGAGGCTGCCTTGAAAAAAAGCAGAGTAAGTGTAGGATTCTTCACTCTCCTCTTCCCACAATATGAAGTCACTTAGGAACAGCCCAGTGCATGTCAGATCTTTCCATCATCCATTTGCAAACAGGGTGAATGAAATGTCTTCCTTTATTGTTTGGGTTTATGGGCCAGAATACACCATATCACTTCATCTGAGGGAAGGATTATCCTGACCAAGGATTATCAGGTGTGTGGTTAGATGCTGAGGTATAGCCTGAGGAAGTCTGGTGTTCAGTGGCAGAACCTTCCAACACTACAAAGGTAGCTCAGCCCTGCCTCATGCTTCCCTCAAGAGAAGATTAAGACATCGCCCATTATCCGATTGCATTTTCATGGATATGTAGCAATCATGTTCTGGAAACTCTTTCCTCCTGTGATCTCTTTTTGGAGGCGACTTCCTCCTCTATTCCCTCCACTACACCACAGATGGTGTAACTTCCCAGAGAAGATTAAAACTGTTCTTAGCCCCTGTCATAGCAGGGTCTGGTGTCCTAGGAAGGTGCAGGATAGGAGTAACATAAGATGCTTCTGGACTCCAGTCCACAATCTGCCAGAAAATAGGTGGGTGGTTTGCCAGCATCCATCTTTTCAGTGGAGGTGGCAGGAGAGACTGAAATTAATCTCCTCCAATTTAGTGATTGAATTTAGTCTCCAAAGCTGGCTCACAAACTCCTTGAAGAACAGTTGAGTCATTCCTTTTTAAATATAATATTTGCTGACTTTAGAATGGGCAGCTGTATGAGATGTGGACCCTTTTGAAATCCTTTGTACTTTGCCATATCTCTGTTTCTACCTGTTTCCTTCTCTCACTGAGCATGAGGATATTATGGGGGCTCGCCACCTCTAGAACAGCTTCAGGAGTGCTTTGTCTGTGGGAGAATCACTGGGCAAAGAGGCAACTGATGATCTGAAATACTGTTGTGCTTCTGCCCATTCCTACCTTTTAGAAAGCTTTTCAAAAAAGGTGGATAAAGGGAATGGTAAAAGTCCTCTGAATCTTCTTCAGTTCGCCTCATCTTTCCCGTTGTGCAGGTTTCTTTCCATAAAGACTATGAGTTACAAAAGTATTTGGCTTGATTTTGCAGAGTTATTTTATCTTATTTTGACACTCCTTCCTTTGAACTGTAGTCAGAAAAGAGCTCAGTGCTGTAGATGCTGATCTTGGCTAGCCTTGGAGAGGTCTGTGGAAGTTAAATGGGAAAGTCAGACGATCGGAGTTTACTCTGGGAAGTCACTTGCTTTCTCTGTGACCAGGGAGTATTGAGTATATTGCCTTGTAAATGGGGCAAAGATGCTGTCTGCAGCCTCCAGGTGCCAGCTTAGCATAAGCAATAACAAAGCAGGTACTTTGTAACGGACAACGTGTCCCCACTACCATCAATCAGTTTGAGCAGCATTTCAGACGGTCTTTCTACATGTAAGGCACCCATTTCCTCACTCTGACTATCATCATGCACATCAGTGGAGAAGATTGTAGAATCATAGAATAGTTTGGGTTGGAAGGGACCTTTAAAGGCCATGTAGTCCAATCCGCTGTCATGAGCACGTTCAACTCATGAACCTAGTTGAACTCTAGTTGAGTCTTCCAACTAGAGCAGGTTGCTCAGAGTCCTGTCCAACCTGACCTGGGATGTTTCCAGGGATGGGGCATTGACCACCTCTCTGGGCAACCTGGGCCAGTCTAAGTGTAAGATGGCCTCGTACTGAACCATTTACAGTCCAGGTACCTTTCTGATCCTCTGGTGTAACGCTGGTGAAATTACACAGTGGCGGAGCAGGTGTTATCTGCTGTCTTAGAATGGATATTACTTGTCTTGGCCTTGCTCCTGCTCTAGATGGAGAAGATTGAGCTGTGTTGGGCTCTTTGACTTCTAATTTTCTTTGAGGCTTGAATGCTGGAGTGTTCTGTTGGGTCCTCGTGTGGCAAGGTAGAAAGGAGGAGTTGGACTTAAGGAAAAGCAGCGCTGGTGAGCCACTTCCAATCCACAGCCAGTGACAGCATTCATATCATCCTTTAACATCCTTCAGAGCCCAGAAAAAACAGGTAGCCCTTCACTGTCCTTGGCAGGTGCCTGATCCTATTACTTCTGCTCTGGGGAGAAACCAGAGCGCTGTGCTGGGCCATACAAAGGCAGGCAGAAAATCAGTGCTAAAGCTAGCCAAAACGTGCCCAAATCCCACTTGTGTCAATGGGACTGTTTTAGACTGACCTCCTTGAATGCTTTTTTTGTGGATTCCCAAAAAGTTGTAGCAGAACAGAAGCTGTCTGAAACCAAAGACAGCATTTTTCCCAGCATCAGAACCTGGCGATACTTTGCATATTTGTTTCCTGAAACATTCAACAAAACGGTCTTTCAAATGCCATTTCACTGGTAGTTCTTCATTACCCTCATCTTTTTTCATTTTTTTCCAGTAGAATATTCAACTTCATGAACTGCGATATCTTTGTTCTTTCAGCCTTACTTTTTTCAAACTGGCTGCAGAAGCTTCAGTATAACAAGAGGGTTACATAAAAGATCAAGATCATATTTGTTTTGAAAGGAGACCGAAAAGAATACATTCTGGTTTTGAATGGTCACTGAGAGCGCTGATCTTCATAGTGCCTTGCTGAGTAGCACAGGAGCTCGTGATGATGATAAAAGGGTATAGATTTTTAAAAGGATAAAAGGAAATGCTTTTCTAACTTGGCACAATAACAAGCTTTTGGAATTCATTGCCGGGGGACGTTGTTGCAGCACATACTTCAGTAAGATTCAAATCTCTGAAGAACTACAAGTCCTCCAGGTCCAGAACATGAACTCCAGGGCTTAGCTGGGGTCGCGGAAACTTATTTCCTTGGAGGAATAATGTTGCACGGTCCCCCAGTTGCCAATGGAGGGCTCAGCTCTCCTCTTAAGTATGAGCTACTGGGAGAAATATCTAGGCTAGTTCATGACTGTTTTTGAGGTGAGAAACCTCCAATGTCTGGAGACTATTGAATGAAGGAAAACCTCAGGGAGCATTTTCGAGCCTAAAGAGAATTTTCTCTTCATCTGCAGGCAGTTACTTTTTCTTTCATCTGGGGAGAATGGAAAATTTCTCAATTCCTTTGCTTCTTCTAAGCACAGTCATCAGAAAGGATTCACAGGGTTGATCCTCAGCATGTTTAATTCAATGGACTTTTTCCATTTACTTTAATGGGTTTTGTTTCGCTCCTTTTGCCAAAATGGCTTCTCAGAGTGCTTTGAGATCTACAGATGAAAGCTCTGGATAAGCAAGGGTAGAATTTATTATTATTGTTCATCTGGAAGAAGCTGAATTATTTCATGTCCTTACAATAACTTTATAAACTCTGTTGCCAGCAAAAGGGGAGAAAAGATGCTAGGCTTAGCCTCAACTGTCTTTAAACAGGTATGCTTATAGGCATCATCAGAAATGTTTGTGCTGTTATTTATATTACTAGTTGCAACTACAGTTGTCACCGTCTGGTTTGCCAGTTCTACTCAGAACTACTGAGCTGGTACAGGTTGATCTGCCACGGGCAGCACCCATATCCCTCACATTTCTAAGGTCTTTCCTATTTCACAAGTCACCACCCTCAGCATCAGATCTGCCCATCATCTTCCGTGCAAACCCTTGAAAAGCTACTAAGCGGAGCTCCCCGGGGGCAGTTCCCAGTGTATTAGTGAAAACTCAGCTTAATGCACTGTGGATGAAGTGGATAGCGATGAAGACCACCATGCTGTTGCACAGCCTACGTGTTCATATCCTAAGCATAATCTTGGTCACAAGGTGTGGGGTGGATACAACAGAGCCTTAGCAAGGCAAGCCAACACCCAGCAGTGCAGACAGAAAGCGCATGGGTCCCAGGGATCAGAGAACGTATGTCCCACTCTTGAACCTGCTTTTCATCTTGTGGTATAGGCATAACTGCACATCGTGTGTCAGTGCTAGTAGGAAGAGGTAAGAAGTTCTGCTTCTGGTTTTACTACTTGGACTGTGGAGTGGAGGAGAAAAAACAGTGGGGAAAAAATCCTGAAGATTGGATTGAGTGTAATAAATGGCTTCCCAGATTTTAAGTACTGTTAATGAACTGCAAGGAAGAAATAATATTTCATGGTATAAAAGGCATTCTGTCAAACCAAGTCTGCCAGGTCGATCTCTTGCAGCTGTAGAATTTGTTGGAGTATTTCTGTTTTGTAAGTAGAGGTGATCAGTGGCATTACCTTGGCTTCAATGTTAAAATGTAGTCTTCAAGCCAACAAAATTTTGAAGCACATCGAACTCCAAGCAAGTACACTCATATATATTTAAGCAAGTACACTTAAATATATGTGTCTATTTTACATACAAGTATACATAAATGTATATAAACACTTACATATACACACACAGTATAAAATACACTTCTTCCTTGAAGTTCATTAACAATTTGGGAAGCCATTTATTACTATCAATCCACTCTTATTTTTTTTTTTCCACAGTTCTTTTTCCCCTCCACTCCACTGCCTAAGCAGTAAAACATATATATATATTTATATTTAAGTGTACTTGAATTTTTTAAATTGGGATGATAAAATATTCATACATGAAGATTAGAAGCATGTAATACATCTGGAGTCACTCAGTCCCTTACTGGTGCATTCATATAAAGAAGAATAACTTTGTGGCCTCAGCAAGCTCAGAAGTGGCCCCATAAATCAGTATAACCACTGAGATGTTTTTCACTCCTATTAAAATAAAACTGTTGGTGACAATTTATAGCTGCAAATATAGTTCCTGTGTATCACATCCGTTACAGTCTAACTGGGAAAGGGGGAACTCTAAAGAAGAACTATCATAAGCTTGTTGACACCAATATATTTGGAATATCTGCTTCCAGACGTTTTCTGAGTTTTCTGTGCACAACAGGTGCTGTTCTGCAAAATGAAATGTCTTGTTCCAGATCTCATTTTTGGAGAAGATACGTCCAAGATTTTTTGCTGACTTACTGTGGAAATAAATGAATCAGTCTGTAAGAGCGATTGGGGGAAAAGTAACAAAAAGCAATCATAATTACCTTAAAAGGAAAAAAAAATCTGAAGGAACATTCAGCAGACAGCAAGTCCTATTTAGGCTTCTGAAGAAATTACTGGAAATGAAATTACTTAGACTACTGAAGAGAAGACAGAAAATTAAAGAATTTATTGTAGGGCAGATTTCAGCACCAGCATGGCAAGGACTGAACAAACTCAAGCAGGCAACTCCATCTCCCACAGTGGAAATATTTTATGCTTCTGTAGGAACCTGGGTTTGTGCCTCTAGTAGGAATATTTTAGATAATAAAACTTACAAAGATGTTCTCAGTATGATCAGAGCTATGATGTTAAAGCTTTTCTTCATACCCAGATGAGTTCTCTCCTAACCAAAACGTGCTTTTAGCGTCTTGACAAAGCATATCTATGCTGGTTTGAAAGTGTTTGCACTTGGGGTTTCTGCTAATACAATTCTGCCTGTTGGGGAGCTGCACCTCTTCACACCCCTGACCAACGCTGGCTGTGTTGGCGGAAATCCACAGTGGTTAGGGTCAAAGGGAAGTAATTAAGATGGAAAGCAAAACCCTAGACAAAAAGCTCACTCTAATTACATCAGCATAACCGTGCTGCAAATATAACTGTCTGTTTAAATTACAGGTATCTAGACCTCCGAAAATTCGGCTCAGTTCCTCATGGAGGCTTCGGAATGGGGTTTGAACGCTACCTGCAGTACATCTTGGGAGTTGACAATATCAAAGATGTTATTCCTTTCCCTAGATTTCCTCACTCCTGTCTCCTGTAGCTCAGCAGTTGACTCACGTGGAGAAAACTGCTGGTGTGACGATATGTATATAATGTATTAGGGTATGACTAAGTGTGTTTTAGTAGGAAAACAAGATCATTTTTATATTGGTGAAACTCTTGGTAAATGTAATGCTGGCTTATTGAAAATGATATATGTTCTGATGAGATGATGGAAGCACACTTGCAGTTAATTTGATGGCAGTTCATGTCTTCAATGTCCTTCAGGAGTACTAGTAAGTCCCACTTAACTAAAGGGTCAAGATTCTCGTGAGACTAGTACAAGCCATGGAGATACTGAATAAGTGTTGTTGGGAGGTAGTGGGGGTTTTCTGTGAAATATTAGTAAGGAGGTGTGCCCTAAAATGGACTGGGAGCCAGGACTGCTGTGAGGCTTTAATAGGTTTTAATTAAATGCCTGCACAGGGCTTTGAAGATTGAGTGTTATAAAATTGTGAAGTACTGTCATGGCTGTGATGCACTGGCTCTTACAAAATGGCTACTCTAAAGCATCATTCTCCCCACCACGAGTTAAAAGCAAATATTGTTTGCCTTGGAAAAATCAGGCAAACCTAGCAAGGAAAATGTCATATTGGAACTGCTGGAGTGAATTAGGTGAATGATGTTTGATTTTGTGAATCATCAATAAAGATGTACACTGGGTTGTTTTGTAACTCTGGTTTCTTCTTCTGTTACAAAACTGTAGCACTCAGCATCATAGTGTTTCCTCCAGTGTCTTTGGTAGATGTTTCCTTTTCTGTATACCCAAATTAGTTGCACAACTTCTGCAGGAGAGATCTGTTTTCTGTCTCCAAGAGAGCACATGGTCATAGCAGAAAAAAATGTTGTTAGCTGAATGTTCATTCATCTCTCCAGAGCCAACTTGCAGTTTATTGGTGTTTTCTTGTTGTTGCTTTGGTTTTTTTTGTTGTTATTGAGAAATATCTCTCATGTGCTCATCGGACCAAGCAGTTTTGGCTATATTTTGAAACAACCAACATATACTCCCAAGCATTGCATATGTATTAAGTAATTGCTTAAAACTGTAGGATTCGAACGCCTTGCAGTCTTTAATGGGTTTATGCTTTTAGCTTCCCTGCTAGGTAAAAAAAAATATTAATTTCTGTTTTGAAGTCAGGCTTATGGGAAGATCAATTGACTTGCCTAAGGCAATTGGAAACTACTGGTTTATTTGGGACTTGAACTGAGGGTTTCCAGCATCCCTCTTCCCTTCCAAATTATCACAATCTAGAAAATGGTCATTTGCATAGTGCTTACTACTCTGGTGCCCGAGACGGCTGCAGTATAAACAATATATATAAAGAGAAAAAAGCAAGGTGGCAACCTTATTGCTAATGATCCCCATGTAAAATGGCACATACAACGTGAAGTGGCTGCAGAACAGCCGTGAAGACTTCTTTTCCAAGTAGATGAAAGAGATTGAAAAAGAGTAATCAACTAGCATTGGGCTGGTAATATTGCATTCACAGTTCTCTCTGGTAGAGCTGTATAATACTGCACCTGCAGTATCTAAAAATACATATTTATGTCATGTGGCACCTGCCATGATTCAGTTTGGTCCACAGGTGGGGCTTTTACATGTTATGATCATGCAAACAACATCACCACAAGGTCAGTACTTTGGGGTGTTTGTTGCATGCACTGAGACATCACCAGCATATCAATTTTTTTTTCATATCTCTGTCGTCTACTTGATTAGGCAGGTGTTAACTGTGCATTTGCTGGTTTGCCTTTCCTGGTACAGCCTTGCGTTGATAAGTCTGGTTTCATGAAACAGTTCAAGCACCTGCCTTCTCTTTGAAACCACTGAAAACGTTCCTACATCAGACACCCGAGTATCCTCCTGCATTTGGACCATTTCTCCTTTTAATGCTGTATCTTAAATGTTATTGCTGGCCTTTAAGGAATTACTTCTCTCAGCAGAAAGATGTGGAAAGAGTACAGCTGCCAAACAGCCCCATCCATACCATGTTCCTAAATAACTTTGGACGAGCAGGTGTCCTTATTGAGATCCTTAGTCACTGGTTCTGTCACAGCTGCTGTAAATGAGACTGCTTGAACTGGAAGCCCATCTGCTGAAAACAGAGTGGGTGGATGGCAAAACCATCTCCCATCCACTCTGCTTTCATCCCTGCAGCAGCTCTGGGCTGGCTGCGTTGGTTCTGGCATCAAGCGGGCTGTTGTCAGCGGGAGGTTGTTGATCATGCTGCAAGATGCCAGATCTGATGATGGGCAGGGTGGGGCTAAACAGCGACAGGTGAAAAACAAGGTGTAGAGGAGAAGACAGTAGAAGGTGCCAAAAAGTTACACGATGATGTGGCATGAGTCACAAGCTACGGGGAAGGGTAGCAGGACTGTTTCAAACAGGCTTGCAGAGTGGCTGTCGGGGCCTTATGTGAGGTGACAGCTTGCAAGAACCAAGGACTGGTATCATCCACCCTTCATTCTTTGCTTTGATAAGAGGTTGTTCCAGGACAGAAGGAAAAGGTTGAACCTTTGATTTATAGATAGGTAGGCATACAAAGGAATGTCAAAGGTTTTGGGGTTTAAGTTTTGTTTTGTTTTGGGGTTGGGTATCTTTTGTTTGTTTTTTCTGATTGCACCCATTGCAGAAAGGCAGATTTTTAAGGAAGATGTAGCAACTACCTGAAAGGAGGTTGTAGTGAGGTGGCTGTTGGTCTCTTCTCCCAAGTAAATAGCGATAGGACGAGAGGAAACGGCCTCAAGTTGCACCAAGGGAGGTTCATATTGGATATTGGGAAAAATTTCTTTACTGAAAGAGTGGTCAAACATTGGAACAGGCTGCCCAGGGAGATGGTGGAGTCACCATCACTGGAAGTGTTCAAAAAACGTGTAGATGTGGCCCTTCAGGACATGGTTCAGTGGGCATGGTGGTGTTGGGTTGACAGTTGGACTTGATGATCCAAGGTATTTTCCAGCCTTAATGATTCTATGATTCTGTGATTCTAAGGATGGATCATGAGTGATTCTTGGTGTGTTTCTGACTGTGTGTCCAGGAGGAGCAGTCTTCCCAGTCTTCCCATGTATTTCTATTTCATTCAAAGATACTCGGTGAGTTGGAGATCAATGGATGAGGCTGAGCTAAGGGGGCATTGTCCTTGGATCTAAAAGCTACCCCCCGATAGCTGGCAGAATGAGTGAGAGAGCAGGTTTGTTCCCAGCAGAACTAACCAGATGAACGTTCAGGCTCAGAAGGGAGAAGAAAGGGTTGTCCAGTCTTGGAAACAGCCTTCAACATGCATTGTTTTTCCTAGCGTGGGAGAGAGGAGAAGGTAGAGGCTGAGGACCGTGTGCGTGATGATACTGCTTAGGGTTAATACTGAGACTGGTGTTCTTGTGAGAAGCTTGATTTATGGGTACCCAGCAAGGGTGGGAGCCTCTCTTTCCCTCCAGGCTGGCATTGTTCACCTCGTGCTATGTATATATAACATTGGCTGGTATTGCCAAGGAATGCGACGTGTTTTCTCTGGGATTTCCATGTGGAATGTCATGTATTTCCTTCGAATCTCCTATCCCGGAATGAAACGGAAGTTAATCTGGAGGACAGGGGAGGTCATTCCTCTTGGACATGTAGGCTGGGAAACGCACTGAGAATTTCTTGGATTTAAGCAGTTTTCCTTGCTACATCTTCTCATAGAGTCTGCACTGTGACAATCGCTGAAGCCAGCTAAAAACTCTGACACTTCTTCAAACAAAAAGCTGTTATTCTTTGCACACAGGAGTCATCTCTTAGCCTGAGCATGCAGTGCAGTAGCTTACATTGGGGTGTTTTCAGGGCGGTAAGCAGGCAGCTCTCAAGCCCAGGTGACCAGCGTGGTCTCTGCTAGCGTCCTTTCGGTAAGTATTTGTTCAAGTTTCAGTTCCTCAGCAGCCAGTACTGCCTCTTTTCAGGTTTTTCCTCACTTGGAGCTTCAGAGGAAAGAGTCGGTGTCATTGATTACTGTGTCTGGGGCTTTGCAACATTAGTACAGAGCGATGGGAGAGCAACACCGGTGGGAATAAAAGAGCAATGCCATAAACTTTGCATAACCAAATGACAGCCTCTCAGAAGAGTGTTTAGAGGAAAATCTTTGTTTTCACTTCAAGAATATCAGATGATCTCTTTACTTAAGATTTTTATGTGCGGGATCAAAGTGTCCCAAAGTACTCTATTTTTAATTAAAAATAATACCTGCAGAACTAATACCAGGTCTCAGTCTTTCCGGTTTGAAATCCACAGGAGAGCAAAGGCATGCTCTGAAGCTAATAGTAGAGGTTGTTGTTCTCTCCTTTATGATTTATACTGTGATACTACGGCAGTGTCTAGATCTTGGACTGTTGTGCTAGCTTCCATACAAGCATAGATGAAAAGATACATTGCTGGGCCAAATGTTTAGAAGTCAGCAGAGCAGCGCAGGGATTTCAGCTGAATTACCTGTATTCAGGCCCCCAGACCTGGGTCAAAAGCAGCAAGATGTCCAGCTCAGCAGTCCTCTCTCCAGTTTATTTGGTAGTAGTTGTAATTCATAAAACATCACTTGTTTGTGAGTGAATGCCAAGACTTTGATGGAGAATGTACAGTGTTGCTTGCTGGACTAATATTGATTGTTTTGGAAATAGCTTATAGATGTGTTTTTCTTTGGGGGGAGAAGGGGACTAATTTGCCAAGAAACACTTTGGTCATTGTTTCCATTAAATGTGTGTATAGAGATAAATGTGGTTTTGCTGCTGCTGAAACCAATAACAGTCATTACTACTGTAGTTTTAGCCTCTGCCTTATGCTTAGGGAGAATTGGGAGATGGGTCCAAAGGAGAAATAAGAAAGTTATCTTAGTATAATCTTTGTATAAAGATTATCAAAGTCCTGATTTCCTTCAGATCTAACGAAAGCTGCCGAACCACAAAAAATGGTGGTCTCAGGGGTGAATTTATTGTTTTGTCTTACTGTTTGTTGCAGAGCCATGACCTTCGGAAGGATTGTAAAGTTTTATTTTATGATCCTGCTGGTAGAGAGACATACGTAATTTACTATACGAGTTCTTACAGACTTGGCTAACAAGAAGTTTGACCCAGAGTTCAAAGAAATTATGGCTCCCGTTGTTTTATTGCTGGTGTGAAACATATTATTATCTGTCGGACAGCTGTGTCTTGCTGTCTGCTGCACGAGGTGTTTGGCAAAGATGCTGTAAAGGGAGAGCTTTCGCATAAAGGGCAGGAGAGGGGCAAGACTGTGCGGCCATTTAAAAGGCATATACTAGCTCCATCAGAAATTGTAGCCTCGATTACGGGTGAAATGACTTCAGGATCCTTGTTGCTCTTATTGCTGACAGTATTTTACTGTGGGAA